TGCCTTGGATGTGGTGCAAGGAGACAATTCAAGAGTAGAGCCCAGCTTCTGTCTTAGTCGCTGAAGCCATTCCCTGGACGGATGGCACAAAGGAAACGCAGGCCTAGGGGGAAGGCAGTGTGTTCCACTTGGGACGTATCTGTTTGAAGGACCTGTGTGATGGTCAAGTTCACAGCTGGATAGTTGTGGTTGAAGTACAGGCAAGAGATTTAAGGCAGAGGGAGGGTTGTGACAGGTCCCCATATAGATAATAGAAAGTGCCAACCTTCCTAGGGGGTGTTTATGTGATAACAGAAGGCTCCTGAGAGAATAGCAGGATAGTTTACCTTTCCCCTTTATTCAGACTCTTCCCAACAATCCATTTTCTAATCACATTCTGTGAACAGTGTCACTAACAGCTTGGATAATATTATCTTAGTGCAGGTACGTTTACCTAACCAGCCACATAGTGTCCTGCTAGTTTTCACTAATGTCTTAGTGTTTTTAAAAAACCCACGATGAATATTTGCATTCCCCCAAATTAGTTCCACGGGGTGTTGGTAAGCAGTGTGTGGGCAAAGTGCTCCAGGTCCATCAATACATTTGGAAATCTTGGTTTAAAAAACTATGAAGTAGGGTTCTTTACTGTGATCTGCCAAAGCCTTAAATGTGCTACTCTGTCCTGGGCCTCTCCGCGAGGGTGTGGCTGGGGTCTGTATATACCTTTCCTAAACCCTGGGCCCTGGAGCTCATTTTAGAGGGGGTGCTTTCAGGACTAGTCACCCCAGAAGTTTCATTGGTTACTAACCTACATGTAAAAGCTGCCCCAGAGTGCAACACGTAGTTCCAGAAATTGCATTAGCATGTAAACAGGAACGCATGTCCTGTCTTTGATGCACGTTGTCCAACGCCTTTTCCTAAGGCGAGTACATTGCTGACGTGAATATAAATTGTCACAGCGACCTGTTTGACCAAACCCCTCTCACCTGTGACAGTGAATTTAAATCGGATCTCATTTGGTGTGTTTCTTTTCCAAGCTACTGATTAGTTGCTGCTGCTGTTGTGAGCACCTTCTGAGGTCTTTTCCTACCTATTGGGATCTGTAGTTGTTCTTATGAAAATAAATGGTCTGTTTTTATAAGCGGATACCATTGCAGAATTTCATGTACTTATGGCAGTCATTCTTGTTTTTTTGCTTTTTAGTGATGTTCTTTTTGAATTTGTGACGCTTCTACAGGTTTATGAATCAGTTATCTAAAGCGTTTATTTATATAGCTTTCTCACTGTGTTTAAGCTAAGAAAGTCCATATATAAAACTGGAAACACTTAATAATCACTTCTTGGTTTTTTGTTGTTATTCACATTAACTTTTAACCCCTCTGGAATTTATATTCATTTATCTTGCTGTCCTGCTCTCCCCTCCCCCCCCAAAAAAAACACTGTTTTACAGCACTATATTCTAAATCATTTTTCCTTTCAAAATTATTATGCCCATGCAGTCCTTTAATAATTGTTATGAAAAAATTATCTCTGCTTCCTAAATTAGCAGATTGAGATGAATGGGAATTTATTAGTGGTTAGTTACTTTGGTCAGTGTCAGTCTTAAGGCAAGCATATTTTATGATAATGTGATGAAGCCAAAACATTTCTAAGCTGACTTATACTTAATATGTGATAAAAAATAAAAATAAAAATAAATTCCTGCCTGAAGCTCATGGGAGAGACCACTAGGAAGAACAGAAGACCGCGTGTTTAAAGATATTTGAAAATTAAAATGAAGAAAGAAACCGTTTGTTATTCATCAGTGTCACTGATTAATAAAAGCAGCCACTTTACAAACATTATCAGGTTTAATTCTTCAGTCCACTGTGCAGCTGAGAAAAAGCAGAGACTCGGGCCCCTTCTCCCCCGTCTGGGAGCTGGGATGGGCAGAGCCAGGGCCACTTCCAGCTGGGTCTGTTGCAGTTGGGGTCCACGGAGAGTGTCTTAGGGTCCCCAGGGCCTGCTGTTTGGACAGCATCAGCCCTCTATCCGAGAATGAGCCACAGCACAGCACTCGGATCGTTACAGTGTAAAAGGGGGTGTAGGATTAAGAACACTTTTGCTGAAGGTTTGTGGGCAGGTCGCACATGGAAATTCTTTCTACAAGGCCGGACTTGGGGACCCTGAAGGTGAAGAAGGACGTGTTCCTCTGCTGTGGGAACATGTAGGTGCTCAGAAGGCCGACCCCTCTTCTCTGGGCAAGCCCCTTGGCTTAGCTACATGCACCTGAGCTCATGTTGTTTCAAGCGCCCTTGCTCTGCAAGTTCACTTGGAAATTTCGGAGCAGTTCCTGCTTCCTCGGCTGCATCTGCGTCTTCAGGCCGCGCTGGTGCATTGCGCTGGTGCATTTTTGAAGCCCACGAAGGCCGAAGGCCGATGTGGATGGAGGCAGCGGCTCTCTGCAGAGACAAGCGGTTGCTTGTCCCCGCGCAGGGCCTGTGCCCTCCAGTCACCGGCTTTGCGGCTCCCTGGACTGATCCCTTCTCAAGTCCCCTGGGAGCCACTTTTGTGGCCATTGCATTTGGTCTCACGGGGCCGCGGATGAAGGGGGGCAGCGGGGGCCGCTTGGCAGGGCCCACCGATCTCCCACGTTCGGAGCAATTTGCAAACTGCTCTGGGAGGGGGCGCGAGTCCAGCCCCGAACAGGCTGCTCCTGTTCCCCCCATTGTGTGCGGGGGTCGGCGCCTTTCCCCAGCTGACCTGAAAAGTTAGAGACAAAACTCGCTTCTCCAGTGGGAGGGGGGCGTTCTCGTACAGAAAGGAAGGAAATACCTCTGTGGGATTTTCCCCCCTCTCCATCCAAAAAATACAGAGCCTCTCTGTCTTCAATGCAAAGGCCGGCTTTAAATCTTTTAGGTTTGGATTAACTCTGCAAAAGAAAAAAAAAAATCTGACAGGCTTTCAGATATGACGCAGAAAAACTTTTTTCCCCCTCATTCCTGTTGTTCTCCAGTGGGAGGGGGGCGTTCTCGTACAGAAAGGAAGGAAATACCTCTGTGGGATTTTCCCCCCTCTCCATCCAAAAAATACAGAGCCTCTCTGTCTTCAATGCAAAGGCCGGCTTTAAATCTTTTAGGTTTGGATTAACTCTGCAAAAGAAAAAAAAAAAATCTGACAGGCTTTCAGATATGACGCAGAAAAACTTTTTTCCCCCTCAATTCCTGTTGTTCCTGGGGAAAGCCAGAGGCTGTGGACTGAATGGGGGGCGCCGTTACCATCACAATGGTCAGAATGAGCAGCCAGCGGACTCCACCAGCGCTGTCTGCCTTTTCTATCAGCGGACATTCAATCCAAGGTGGCAAAGGCAAGAATAAAGCTTTCTCCTCTGGCCCCCTCAATGAAAATAGGTATTTTCAGCGCCGTGACTCAGGAGCTGGAGTCTTACCTTTTCCCCCCAGAAGGAAAAAAGAAATGCGTTTTTTTTACAGTCATCACCATCCTGAAAGGCTTCGTTCACTCCAAACAAAGCCCCCTGACTTGATAGACATTTCCTCTTACACAGTTATTGTTGGTTTTCACTATTGAGGATGTCAGCAAACATGCCGAAGATCATGTTTTGCTTATAAAATAAAGTGACTTTTATGTGAATATTTTTCATGTGGTTGGTGTCTAGAATATGGGTGCTGTTTCGTCGAAGCCACGTGGCAACATTTATTTTCTGATAATTTTGTAAGCGCATGTTTTTATTTTGACCGCATTCAGAGCTATTTGATCCTGTAAAGGGGGGAAAAAATCTTAGTATTGAACCAACACTGCATCGTTAAGCCCGTGTTCATGTAGAAAAAAATTTAAATAGCAGTTCCTGGTCTTCAGGTGAGAGTCAAAATGAATGGGTAACGTGAAACATAATTAGTAATCTTTCTGTTTGTTAAGGATTGATTGGTTAGGGTTGTTTGTGTGTCATTGTGAAACTGCCTATAAGAATTAAACTCTAGATCATTTTTAATTCCTGAACCACACTTGGTTTAAAAAAAATTCTGTGTGATTTTTAGTAGCGTTTAAATGTACATGCATTCGTTGGCTACATTTTAATGGGGTTATAACAATATATTTGCTGCAAATTTACTCTTGGTAAACAAATAAGACTTGAAGTGAAACAAAATATTTATTTTGGCTTTATTGTATGACATAGTCCTTCCTTTTAAGCTCTTTGTAATCGAATTATATTACAAAGGAATTTATATTATAATTGCAAATAACCAATAGAATTTATTAATTTTCATAGAATCATTCTTTTGCAACCCAAATGGCTCTGATGTAGGAATTTGGGATTTGATACAAAAGAATGATTAAATTCTTTTTAATATACTTTTACTTGCGTTTTTTATATACTAGATGTTTGGTTTAACTTTAGCAATAATAGAATATATCAAAACAAGTTACATAAATCTTGAAACAAAAATTAAGATTATTCTACATAATATCAGCTGAAAAGAGTAAACTTATTTTTATATCTATCTTAACTTGATTATATTATATTCATTATTTATCTGGATAATTCCCTACTATCATGTTATATTTTATTTAAAAAATCATTAATTTTTATTTGGAAAATAGTAAATTTAGTTTCTAAGTAGGATTTATTTTACATGTTGTATTATAAGAGAATTTAACCCAGAATATATTTGAAATTGCCAAAAAAGATTTTTATATTATAAAGATATAAACCAAGGTCAAATGTATTCTAAGTATAAAAGAATCCCAAAGTTTATTACTCCATGTATTGACCACAATAAAAATCTCATAAAAATATGAAAAGACTTGACGAATGATAAAACTTTGCTATATTAGACACTCAATGGGGAAAAAATAGATGTAGTAAATACATGTGTTAACACATTTGGCTTTTAATTTCGTGTATTTCACAAGTTTAGAGTTATTATAGTATACCCTCTTGCAGAATGAGATTCTTAAAATTATTTTACTTCATGTGATATAAAAACTGAGCATGAATGACGCGTTTCTTGTGGTTTCCTCAGGCAGCCATGCTGTTCAGTTCCGGCGTCTTTTGGACGGGCCTGTTATTCATCCCCGTGGCCTCTTTACTTCTTGATGTGGTGTACAAGGTGTAAGTACAGCACTCAGTTATGTACATAAGAGTACAGGTGTGTGCGAACCCACACATTCCTCTACTTGTAACATCAGCTCCAGGGTGTGCAGTTTGCAGAATAGGAATTAGTAGTATTCGCTTATTCTGCATAAATAAATAAAGGAGTGATTGAGGAACTAGAAATCTAAATTAGTTTACAAGACATAAAGCAGGCAGTTTCAGTTAATATTGGAGAGGACGTTTTTAGAAATCAGCCTGAAAAACCCAGTGAACGTAGAAGAAAAATTCTATCATCTCCAAACATACTTATATATGTCATTAGTGAACAATAGTTGTGAAGTAAAGTTTTTTGCTTGCCGGATTATAAACATACACAAAATATAGAATGAAAGAGACTAGAACTTTACTAATGTATGTTGAGGATTATAAGTTTTAAAATGTCATCTCTTCCCACAACAAAACGGTACCATGAAAGTTAGTTACATGATGGTTACTTAATAACTATGAGAGTTTTAATGTTATAAACCTAATCCATTTAAGACTAATGTTTCTGTAATTATATTAGTGCTCAAAATTATTGTCAATTTTTATATTCTACTGAAACACTGTTGTCCTCTGGTCACTGTTGTACTTAGAGGCATGATAATAAAACAGTTTTGTGAAGTCTTTGGTCTTCACACAAATATTTCCATGCAAACATTTTTTTTTTTACAGTATCAAGAGGACTGCTTTTAAAACATTAGTAGATGAAGTGCAGGAGCTGGAGGCAAAATCTCAAGACCCAGGAGCAGTCGTGCTTGGGAAAAGGTAATGCACACTGCATATGTTCTTTTCCAAGTGAATTTTACATTGTTCTTTCACTAGCGATTGGAAATAAGTGGTAAAACTTATATTTTATCAGTTAACAAGGAACGGGCAGTGTTGTTGACAGATTTTGGAATCAGAGAGATGTGGATTCAAATCAGAGCTGCAATTTCACTAAACTGCGTGTGACCTTTAGCCAAGTTGTTTAATGCTACTGGGCTTCAATTCACTCATCTATAAAATGGGGGTGATAATTCCTACCTCAGGACTAGTTGTAAGAATTGAGTAAAATACTATCAATAAGATCGACCAAAGGACTTTTATGCATGTATATAAGCCTAACCAATGGACACAGACACCAGCGGGGTGAAGGCATGGGAGGGAGGGGGTATTGGGGGGATAAGGACACATATGTAATACCTTAATCAATAAAGAAAAAAATGTTTAAAAAAATACTATCAATAAAGCAGATAGCTCAGTGCCTGGTATACTCATTAAATAAATGGTAGTTATAAGCAAAACTAGAGGCCTGGTGCACAATATTCGTGCACTCGGTGTGGGGGGGGGTCCCTCAGCCTGGCCTGCGTCCTATAGCAGTCTGGGAGCCCTCGGGGGATGTCCCAAGGGGAGTGGGCCTAAGCCACAGTCCAACATCCTTAGCACTGCTGCAGAGGCAGGAGAGGCTCCCACCACCGATGCTGCGTTCGCCAGCCGTAAGCCTAGCTTCTGGCTGAGCGATGCTCCCCCAGTGGCAGTGCACTGATCACCAGGGGGCAACTCCTGCGTTGAGTGTCTGCCCCCTGGTGGTCAGTGCGCATCATAGCAACCGGTTGTTCTGCTGTTTGGTCAATTTGCATATTACCCTTTTATTATATAGGATTGTGTTATGGAACTAAAAGCGGGGGGGGGGGGGGGACTTTTAGCTTCAAACAGTATCCATAATAAAAACAGTGGTTCTAAACCTTCTGGCCCTTTAAATATAGTTCCTCATGTTGTGACCCAACCATAAAATTATTTTCGTTGCTACTTCATAACTGTAATGTTGCTACTGTTATGAATCATAATGTAAATATCTGATATACAGGATGGTCTTAGGTGACCCCTGTGAGAGGGTCGTTCGACCGCCAAAGGGGTCGCGACCCACAGGTTGAGAACCGCTGAATTAGTATGTCAGGAAAATCAGAGCCTGACTAGGGCAAAGTGCCCTGCAATTGCATATGTGGCTTGGTATGTGATTAGGAACTGATAGGCATGTATCATACATGAAGGGAGTTATGTACTCCAAGCCCTTTCCTCAGCACCACCACCTCAAAAAAAGCAAGGTTAGAAAGCTAATCAAATGTACTAAATTGGCAAAGCATTACAAAAAGGAAATGAAAATTATTTGAAAGCAGTCTATAATGAACCCCAATCATGAAGGTAATGCCAGGTATTTTTTTTCTCTCTTTCATCACACTAAAATAAGCTAAACCGTATGAAATATTTTGCTCTGATATGTGTCACCTTCTTGGTGATTCACTGTTGTTATTCTGCTTGACACAATGGAGTAAGTGTTAGGCTGGGAACATAAGCTGAGACCTTGGCTTCCAGCCCTCACTTGTTTGCATGAGGCCGAAGGGGCGCGTCACACACCAGTCTGCCTCTCTGAAGCTGCTCACACTGGTTTTTATTGAGCACTTACTGCATGCCCGGTGCTGCACTTACCACTCCATGTCTACTGTCTCACTGAATCCCTATAACAACCGCATACAAATCCATCATCTGCATTTTCCCCAGATGGGGAAACTGAGACTTAGAGAGACTGTGTACTCAAGGTCAGAAGTCAGAGAGCTGAGCTTTGAGCCACACCAATGGGTTCCCAAATCCCTGCTCCTAACCATTCACTGTTCTGCCTCCTGCTCAGGAACCGTGATAGAGCAACAAAAGCAGCTCCTGCTCCTAACCATTCACTGTTCTGCCTCCTGCTCAGCCTCCGTGGCCTGACAAAGTCCTTCACCTCTCTGAGTCAGTATCCCTGTGTATGCGATGGGGGTGATAATACCTATTGTCAAGCTTAGAGATAGTCTCCTCCTCCCTCCACCTTCCCCTCCATCTCTGCCCTTCATCTAAAAATGTGCTTCTATTCCATTGCGTGGCATAAACAGTCCCTCAATCAATGTCTTCTCTCTCTTGCTCTAGCTATAAAAAGGATGTGGTAAGAGTTCTAGTTCACACGATTGTGAATAAAACCATTTATGAACAATTGTTAGGGGAAGGCCACTGATGATACTTGTTACCGCCCTCGGGAGTAAATTGCTCATATTTGTATGTCAATGAAACTTACATTAAGCCCCTTCATGTGGTATTTAGTTTTTGTGGTTTGTTCTGTGAAAGGAGAAAAATCTCAATCATTGGAAAAGTCTTCATGCTGAACTTATTGCATTCTAGGCAGTTAAGGAATTGTCAGATTGATTTTACTGCCACATTATTTTAGAAATCTTGGACAGTGATATCAATATCGAATTTTTTTAAGTCTGCTAATTTTATCTACATTTTTAGAGGAAAAAATTGGGATTTCTGTGTATTTTAGCGCTATTAGACTTCCTTTAGTTCCAAAACACCGTGTTATCTTATGCCTCCCCGTCTTTGCTGTTCCCTTGTCTAGAAGCTCATACCCTTTCATAAACTGGGCAGTCCAATTCCTAGCTTTCAAAACCCAGATCAGATGCAATTACCTCAACTTTTCACAAATAACAATAATTCCTACTCTATCTCTGTACTCTGTTTACTCTTATGTTTTTACATTGATTGCCTGTATTATAATGTATTTGTTTACTTATGTTTGTTTTCCCTACTGGATTGAACTCCTTGAAAGAGAGGCCCTTTGTCTTAGTCTTTGAAAGGCAACACCTAGCATAGTACCAGGAACATAGTAGCACTCGATGAATATTTGGTGAATGGGTGAATGAATGGTCAAGAGAAGGAAAAAAAGGAGGGAGGGAGGGAAA